GTGACCCTGTCTTTCTTCTCGTTCACCTCGACATCACTTGTCCCACCAACCTTCAGCACGGCCACTCCATCTGAAAGCTTCGCCAGCCGCTCATTCAGTTTCTCTTTCTCATATTCACTGGTTGTGATTTCTAACTGCTCAGTGATTTCTTGAATACGTTTTTCAATTTGTGCTTTGTCACCTTTGCCTTTCAAAAGCATGGCATCATCTTTAGTTACGATAACCTCTCCAACTTTCCCTAAGTCGTGAGGCTGGACATCTTCAAAATTTAGCGTCAAACCCTCTTCACCAAATACTGCACCACCAGTTGCAATAGCCATGTCTTTCAGCTGGTTCTTCCTATTGTCACCAAACCCTGGAGCTTTGACAGAAACAACCTAAAGGCCAACCTTGAGCCTGTTCAAAACCAGGGTACTGAAAGCTTCTCCATCAACGTCCTCAGCAATTATGACCAAGGGCTTCCGGTGAGCATTGGCAATTTCAAGAGCAGGTACAATGGACTGGACGCTAGAGATTTTCTTCTCACTCAGTAGAACATAGGCATCCTGAAATTCACATTTCTGGCCTTTTGATGTGTTAATAAAGTATGGAGAAATATATCCTCGATCAAACTTCATGCCTTCAATAATTTCCAATTCATCATTCAGGGTTTTTCCATCCTTCACTGTGATGACGCCCTTCCGGCCCACCTTCTTCATGGCATCAGATATGATATTACCAATTTCTTTGTCTCCATTTGCAGAAATTGTACCAACCTGAGCAATTTCTTCAGGGGTTGTCACGGGTTTGGACTGTTTCTTAAGTTCAGCAATCACAGCATCAACAGCTAACATCACACCTCTCCTGATTTCCACGGGGTTCGCGCCTTTGCTGATCTTCTCAAAGCCTTCCTTGGCAATAGAGCGTGCTAGGACTGTCGCTGTGGTGGTGCCATCCCCGGCCTCTTCGTTTGTATTGTTGGCAACATCTTGAACAAGTTTAGCTCCAATATTCTTGTATTTATCCTTTAAATCAATTGACTTTGCAACAGTCACACCATCTTTGGTTACCTTGGGACTTCCCCAACTCTGTTCAATAATCACTGTTCTTCCCTTTGGCCCCATTGTAATGGCGACAGCATCGGCCAGGAGGTCTACACCCTCGCATGAGGGCGCGGGCGTCCGCACCGAATTTCACATCTTTGGCATAGGCCCGAGTGAGCTGCGGGGCCAGGGCCCGGGACACTGGCCTGGCCTGGAGAAGGACCGCGGGTAGCCGGAGCATTTCTGCGGGGCGGTGGCAGGAGCGCACGCGGTGAGGAAGGCCGTCGGCGGAGAGTCTGAAAGAAACATTTAAAACTACTAATATAACCTGATTTTAGGTTTTTAAAGTTTATATATTTACATGTGTAAAAATAATTCTAAATTGATAAAAATTAGTATATTTTTGTATTTACACAGAGAAGAAAAATAATAGAAGATATCATACTTGCAATGTCAGTTATCTCCTTTATATAAAGACAGGAAAAAAGAAATAAATATAGTAAAGTTAAATCAAATGTGATTATAACTTTTGTACCTTTCTTTGTTTATAGGTCTCCCCTCATGAGCAATATATCTAGTAATATGTATCTGGCTGAAGCTCAACTAACATAAGAATGGAAAGAATTGCATTTATAACATTATAAAACAAAGACTAAAGATTATACATTGTCTCAACAGTGGCTAAATACAGTATTAAAAGTATTAAATACAGTATTAATCTTCTCAATATCCTATCATTCTTTTCCTACATTGCACCTTCTGTATTAACTCTCACAAAGTCTTCCACTGAGTCACAGCTCTAAGCACTATTATATATTTCCAGGGGGAAGTATACATGCACAGAAAACTGAGATCCATTCTGATTGGTCTGCCTTGCAGCATGTGTTTAAAGTGAACCAGTCACAAAGCAGGCAGATGCTATGCACTAATCCACTTTAGAAAATTATCCTGACTTCTTACTTGTGAAAGTCCACCTAGACCAAGTTGACTGAGAGTTGAGAAAGACAGAATATCAATCAAAATTTCACTGGCTGTCAAGACAGAAATAAACAATAACTGTTCAGTACATATCAATTTTTTATTAGGAGAAAAAAATTTAACAAGATTTGTCAAAAGTGATACTCCTACTCTCACCCTTGAACTCCAAATCCACTCTTCTCTCTTACCAGTGACATTTATTAATCCACTAACATACTCCCAAGAAGAGAACTACAGTAAGTTCTCCAATTACAGAGTTCCATTCCCAGAGAACATTCCTGAGTCAGATTTCTGTATAGGTCTGACTATGAGTCCTGTATACCTTTAACACAAAAGTACAATATAAAGCATAAGAAAACCGAATACACACACACATATAGTAACTTCAATTATACTGTTCCACTGTATGCTACTGCACTGTATAAGAAGCCCAACAGCACCACTGTGACAATGTCCATCAGACACATGAGCTATTGCTACAATTTGTTCACAACTATGAATGTCCCTAGTGCGGGGTGAAAGTTTGAATATCAATTGTCCATAAACTGAGGATTAACTGTATTTGGTTTGTCAATCATCATGTGTTGCTGCTAAACGTTGATTAGACATGTTACCTCTCATGAATATATAGAGAGAAACAAGGAAAATATTACATATCCTTTTAGTATTCAAAGTTAAATATTGGCCAAATGTTAAACACTGTCATCATCAGTATCTCACTCCATGTTTTTGCTTCAACTTTTAGGTAGGATCACTTACATAAAATGGCTATTATATAATATGGGTGATTTGAAGTATCATTAGAGACAAGAATAGATCAAAAGAGAAAGGGGCGTGACTTCATGCTGTTAGTTTCATCTTGTCTGACACCATTCTGCCTGATGACAGATTTGTATCATGACTTTTACTAGGCTGAAATTTGGAAATTAATTCAAATACAATCTTTTATATTTTTCAATGTTTGTATTTCTTTAGTAACAATAACTTTTGAAATGTAATACGGATTTTTAAACCTTTGTTTATCTTTGTGATTTCCATGACTACAATCTTATTCCATCTCATGAATCAAATTTATCCCTGAAACCTGACTTCTTAAGAAAATTTTTAAAATTTATTTCCATAATTTTATTGACAGACAAATAGCAATAAGAGAGTTTCAAATCAAATTGGTAGGAGAGTTTTAATAATTAACACATTGCATACTGTCTTCGTAATGGTTATTTGCTGTACAAGATGCAGACATGACATCCTATTCACAAACACTATTGCAACAAATCCCTCTATTCATTAAGAGAATGTAACTATATATCATTCCTAACCATTTTGAATACACAGATACAAAATGGACATTCATTTATATATCCCCTTTTTTGTTTAGTTCCGTCATTTGAATATTATAGGTGTGTTAACTCAGCAAAACATTCTAAAAGAGTCCAGTAGTCCATAATAGTATTGGGGCTTCTGCTTAACTGGCAATGTCAGAAATTGTTGACCTGAGTCCCCTACAGCTCAACATAAAAGCATGGCTTTACTTCTTGTACTTCATTTTTATACTTTTCCGCTGGATGGTTAAGACCAAGATAAAGCAAGACTTATGCAACAAGAGTTGTAGCTTTTGGATCTGATAAGGTCGGTGAAATCCCCACAGGATTTATCCTGAGATCCTGTACCTCAGATCATAGATCCTTTGTCAGTTTCAGCCATGTGGATGAGTGACAGCCACTGCTTGGTCAATGTGCTCCCCATGAAAGGCTGAGAGAATGTTTTCTCTCCATGTGACTCTCCTTAGGCACACTTTACATCATCAATCACTTTCCATGTGCAGCTGAGAAAAATGTGTATTCAGCTGTGTTTGGGTGGAACACTCTGTATATGTCCAAGTCCATTTGTTTCAAACTCTGGTTCAGTTTTGTATTTCCTTGCTAATTTTTTGTCTGGTTGATCTATCTTTTTGGGATAAGGGGGTGTTAAGTTCTCCTGTTAAGATTGTGGTATTGGATATTAGATTTTTCATATCCATTAAGATTTGCTTTATATACTTGGGTGCTCATGTGTTTGATGCATACATATTTATGAGTGTTACCTCTTTCTCTTCAATTTTTCCCTAACCAGTATATAGTAGCCTTCTTTATTTCACTTGATCATTCTTGGTTTGAAGTTGAGACTGTCTGAGAATAGGATTGCTACCCCTGCTTTTCTCTGAGGTACTGGGACATGTAGTATTGTGTTCCATCCTTTGACTTTCAGCCTATGGATGTCTTTATGAGTTAAATGTGTTTCTTGTATACAGCATATTGTTGGATTTTGTTCCCTAATACACGGTGCCAGTCTATTTCTCTTAATTGGTGAATTGAGTCTGTTTACATTGATGGTTATAATTGAGATGTATTGACTTACAATTGACATGTTATTTGCTTGTCATTTACTCCTTTTTCTCCTGTGTTTTATTGTTTTCCCTATTTAGTTGATTGCTTCTGATCTCATTCGTGGAGTTCAGATCATTTTGGTTTCTCTCTAGAACATCTTTCAGTACCCTGTGTAGGGTTGGCTTTGTCATCATGAAATTCTTTAGTTGGACTTTGTCATGAAAGTATTTCACTTCTCCATCAAACTTGAAAGAGAGCTTTGCAAGGTATAGTTGTCTGGGCTGGAATTTGTTTTCATAGAGGACCTGAAGTACTCTGCTCCATGCTCTTCTTGCCTTCATGGTTTGTGAAGAGAAGTCGACCATAATTCTGATGGGTTTTCCTTTGAATATGACCTGCTTCTTTTCTCTAGCGGCTTTAAGTATATTATTCTTGTGCTGAATTTCTGGGATCTTGACTATTCTATGTCTCGGTGTGTTTTTCATTGGGTTGAGATTACTTAGCATTCTGTATGCTTAGGTTACTTGAATGTCAGATTGTTTCCCCATATTTGGGAAGTTTTCTGCTCTTACTTCTGTCCATACTTTTTTAATGTCCTTTGTATTGACTCCTTCTTTCTTATTGATGCTTATTAGTCTCACATTGTTCAACTTTGCATCATCTTGCAGGTGATGGATTATTTTTTCCTGCATCCTCGTTGTTTTTAAGAGATCCTTTCTTACCTTTTCACTAGCTGCACCAGTGTCTTCAGGATCTGAAACTCTGCCTTCTTTTTCACTTAAAGGGTTTTGCAAGCTTGTGATTGAGATTTTAAATTCCTCTATATCTCTTTGACTCTGCTTCATGCAATCTATTTCTTTCCTGTATTGCTCATTAAAGGAATCTGTCATTTTTCTAATCTCCTCTTTTTTTTTATCAATGTCTTCTTTAGAAGCAGTTATAAATTCTTTTACTGCAGTGATTTTTTCAGATTGGGTTTCCTCCCTATGTTTCTGTAGTTGATTCTTTACTTCAGATTCTATGAGTTCCAATAACTCTTTTCTTATTTCAGAAAGTTCCTCTCTGAGTTGCTCTATAACTTTCTGCTGTTGCTTATTTACTATCAACACTATTGATTCATACATTTGAGCTGAGCTAATAGAAAAGAATTCCGCTCTGAGTTCCTCTATGACTTTCTGCTGTTGGTTATTTACTATCAACACTATTAATTCATACATTTGAGCTGAGCTAGTGTCCTCTGCACTTGTTCTGGGTCGGCATTGGGTTTCCTCCCTATGTTTCTGCATTTGATTCTTTACTGCAGATGCTATTAATTCAAGGATTTCTATTTTCATTTCCAATCGGAGTCCCTCTATACCTTTCTGCAATTGTTTATTTCAGAAGCTGTTGATTCATCGATTTCAGCTGTGAGGTTCCCAATTTGTTCTGTGTTAGTGTCCTCTGGAATTGTTACGGGTTGGCCTGGGGTCTGAGATTGTAGTTTGCTCCTTCTGGTTGTCATTTTGTGTAGCACTGTCTTCCAACCTTTGTTGTAGAGCTTTGGTGCAGTTATAACCTTAGCACCTACTGAAATTCAGGTGCAGATCTACAAAGATTGGATTTATCCTGCTGTGCATGGCTTGGGTTGGCTGCTGTGCTCAGTTCCTTCCTGTTGCTGCCCTTGGGGGTGAACCTGTTGTGCCCCTCAGGCAAGATGTTCTGCTCCTGGACTAGCTGGGTGGCTTTGTCAACTACTCTCTCTGCAGGGATTGTAGCTGAAGGGTTTCACCCCAGGCCTGTATGCCAGGACTGAGCTGAGTCTAGAGGGGATAAGGTGGAGTAGAGAGGAGAGGGAGCTCTCCCACATGCTCACCAGGTCTGGGTTAGGGCTGGATGTGGGAGTCCCAAGAATGCGGCAGAAATTCTCACTTGGTGGGAGGGGTTAGGAGGTGCTGCGGAGTGGTGGG